GAGGCCGGCACTGAGGGCAGACCATGCCAAGCAGGATATGGCACCCACCCACATGTGTGAAATTCCAGAACTTGAGGAACTACCCTGTTAGGCCACAGCTCCCACTGCGGAGAACAACAGCCAGAGCTGGAAACAGGCCAGAACAGGCTGCAGCAGCTGCTGGCAAGCACAAGAGTCAGGAGTAGGCTAGGCTGCTGCACCCACCAGCAAGAGCTGGGACTGGGGGCAGCCTGGGCTAAGACAGGCTGTCGCACCTGCTGGGAAATGCTGAGACTGGGGGCAGGCCAACTCAGACTGGACCACAGCACCCGCAGACACATGCAAGACCAAGATTTGGGAGCAGGCTTGGTAGGGGAACTTTGAAGACTCCCTTACTGTTTCCACTGATGAACATGAGAGGTGGGAATGGGGGCAGGGGAGACTGGGCTAGGCTGCTATACCCACTAAAACACATTAGAGCTGGAATGGGTGCGGACCAGCCAGGCTAAGCAACAGCACCCACTGGCAAGTGCCAGGACTGGGTGTGAGTCATGTCAGACTGGACCATATACTCCTGGTAGGTATGGGATCTGGGACTAGGAGTGGGCCTACTGGGAGAACTGTGGGTGCTCCCTTGCTGGGTTGCAGCTCCCATGGTGAGCATGAGAGTCAGGGCTGGTCAGCATACGTGTAGACCGGGTCTGCTATTAGGTCAGGCTTTGCTGGGCTGCAGCACTCATGGGTATGCACAAGAGCCACAAGAGATGTGGGATTGATCAAGCCAGGCAGCATGTGCTAGTACATGCCACTCTTGGGGGCACGGGGGACTGCGCCAACTAGGCTGCAGCACTCACTGAAGACCTGCGGGAGGCTGCTCTGGAATAGGCTGCAGTTCCCATCAGTTCACATGAGAGAGGGCACAGGGACAGAACTGACCAGTATGTGCGTGGCTGGTGCAGGGAATAGACCAAATCTGACCCTGCGTTGGGTGGTGCACAGTCTGAGGTCACTTCAGGCAAGGTTTCTGGAGGGACCCCCCCCCCCCAACTAGACTGCTGGACTCAAACCCCAGCCACACGAAAATCACAATATACGAGGTCTTGGAATTCATGTGCCAGGACCAGTCCTTCTCAGTTGGTAATGATGCCTGTGCAGTGCACGGCACGCCCAGATACACACAGACGTGACAGCTCACCTAGGCCAGCAGAGCATATCAACTGCCTTGTCAGAGGAGGGAGAGCAGAACAGGGTGGACCACTCTCCCGGCCAAGCTTTGCAACATATTCCTGGGCCTGTGAAGGCACTCAGGTAGACTGAGTCCGCCAACAGACATTGGACAGATTTTCTCAACCCTGGTACAATGAAGCCAGCAACGTCTCAGCGCTATCAGAACCACAAGGGTGGCACCCTGGGACACCATGCCCCACACCACGGTCTCTAAGGTGGTATTAAACGACTGGCCCCTTTCTCAGGTGCTGATGTAGTTTGACAGCAAGAACTGGCCCCATACTTCCCCCTCTACAGACACTGAACAAAGAAAAACTGAAAAATCTTTCCCACTCAACTTCTTCCATACCTTGACCCTCCCCACTCTAATCAGAGACGCACATGTGTGTGCATCCCTCTCAGCTATGTAAACAAAACTAACAATAAAATTTTAAAGATAATAAAATAATGATAAAGTATTGCTTGTACGTAAGAAAAAGTAAAATCCAGCAGGCAAATTTACTGTCCAGACTTAGATCTAGTGAACCTATACCTCAATCAGATAAACAAAATTAATAAGCAAAGTCAGTTAGGAAAACTGGAGTTGAGTTATCAGAACTCAAAGAGATTTAAATCTTCAAACCTTCTAATTAATCAGACACACAAGCTACACTAAACATCACTCACAGAGGTGATTCTCATTTCAGCAACTCTGCTCTGGAGCAGAGAGAGCGAGCCAGGAGCCTGCTCCTCCTCTTTGCTTATGCCTGCGACTCCAGGCTCCAACAGTGTCAATGCCTCCAACTGCAAGGTGTTTGAAACTTCTAAATGTGGGCCGGGCGCCATGGCCTAGCAGCATTAGAGAGAGAGGGATAACACAGATCTGCCATCTGCTGGCTTGATACCCACATCACCACAACGTCCAGGCCTGGGACAGGCTAACGCCTGGAGCCAAAAGCTCCTCCCAAGTCTCCCCCATGGGTAACAGCCACTTGGCTGCCTGCAGTTGCTTGTCCCAAGCCCTTAGCAGGGAGATGGAGCTGAAGTGGAGCCTCAGGACCAGAGCAACAGCCTAAATCCTCACCTTGCATGCCAGGGAGCCCATATGGGCGTCATTCCACATCCCATCCAGCTATTCCGCTTCCCCTCTAGTGCCCTGCTTGTGACCTGGGAAAGTTAGTATAAGATGGCCCAAAGCCTTGGGACCCCGCACCCATGGACACTACTGGAAGAGGATCCTAGCTCCTAGTTTGGATCGGCTCAGCTCTAGTGGTTGGGCCACTTGAGGAATGAAGCAGCAGACAGAAGATCTTTCTCTGTCTCTCCTTCTCTCTATGGATCTGCCTTTCCAATAAAATAATTAAATCTTAAAAAAAAAAAAAATGGAATCTCCAGGACACAAACTGGTGCCCATATGGAAAGCCAGCAGTGCAGCAGGTAGACTTACCCACTCCACCACAATGCTGACATCTGCCCTGGCGGCCTTAAGAGAATCGTGAAGGATCAGAGTGCAACACCAGGACAGTGGGTAGGGGGCTGCCCATTCTGCAGCCGCTGTGTGAAGAGTGATCAGGAGACTCCCCAATGGTTGGCAGATACAGGACCTGGCATGGTCTGAACAGCATCACCCCAGATTGCTGGGGGAGTAATGATCAAACAGCACAAGGTCTGGATAACACTTGGACTGGGAAAACCAACAGCCTGAAGGTGGGAAAAGGGCACAGCCTCCATGACACGTTCTAATCAGGGATGTACAACTCAAAGTCAAAATTGATTTGACATGCTACAACATATTTGGCTTGGATTTTTTATACATGTCAAGGTCATGAAAGGCTCAAGAACTATTCCAGATTAAATGAGATTAACAGGGCCCGGCGCGGTGGCGCAAGTGGTTAAGGGTCCTCGCCTCGCACGCCCGGGATCCCATATGGGCGCCGGTTCTAATCCCGGCAGCCCCGCTTCCCTTCCAGCTCCCTGCCTGTGGCCTGGGAAAGCAGTCGAGGACGGCCCAAAGCTTTGGGAACCTGCACCCGCGTGGGAGACCCGGAAGAGGCTCCTGGCTTTGGATCGGCATGGCATCGGCCCGTTGCGCTCACTTGGGGAGTGAATCATTGGACGGAGGATCTTCCTCTCTGTCTCTCCTCTCTGTATATCCGCCTTTCCAATGAAAAAATAATAAAAAATAAATCTTTAAATGAGATTAACAAACGATAAACACTACGTGATCCTAAATGCTTCACTAAAAGCAAAAAGAAATGCTAAAAGGAAAAGTCTTTGGAGCAAATGACAAAACTATAACCAACGTTCCACGCCCTGTGTCAGTCCTATAGGTGTATAAATGAGTGTCTTTGTTTATAATCACACACTACGGCCTCAAGGGGAAAGGAACAGCAGCATGTAAGCTATTCTCTAACGGTTCTGAGGAGACAATGTTAGGGATGTGTTGATGTGCCAGAGTGAGGAAGCCCAGCACTGGCCCAGGCCTGGCAGCGGTAACCATCTGGAAAGCGAACCAACAGATGCAAGATCTCTCTCCCTGTCCCTCCAATTCTCCTTTTCAAATAAATAGGTAAGGCTTACTTAGAAAAAAAAAAAAAAGGCCGTGGGGCAGCAGCATTGTAGCTGTCTGCAACATGGGCATCCCCCACCTCTTCCCAGGCTCCCTGCTAACAACCTGGGAGAGCAGCGGAGGGTGACCCACGCGCCTGGACCCCTGCACCGAGGCAGGAAACCCAGATGGAACTGCTGGCTGCTGGCATTAGCCTGGTCATGCCTGGCCAACCCTGGCCCTTGCAGCCAGTGATCAAAAAGACAGAAGAGCCCGGCGCGATGGCGCAGTGGTTAAGGTCCTCGCCTTGCACGCCCGGGATCCCATATGGGCACTGGTTCTATCCCAGCAGCCCCGCTTCCCATCCAGCTCCCTGCTTGTGGCCCGGGAAAGCAGTCGAGGACGGCCCAAAGCTTTGGGACCCTGCACCCGCGTGGGAGACCTGGAAGAGGCTCCTGGCTTTGGATCGGCATAGCATCAGCCGTTGCGCTCACTTGGGGAGTGAATCATCCAGCGGAAGATCTTCCTGTCTCTCCTCTCTGTATATCCGCCTTTCCAATAAAAATAAAATAAATCTTAAAAAAAAAGATCTCTCTCCTTCTGTCCTCTAGGATAAAACAATAATTCTTCAAAACATAATAATAACAACTGATCACCTAAATGCAAAGTGATACGCTGGGGAGGCAGCCATTGGCTCAAGTACTCGGGTGCCTGCACAGCAACTACGCAAGGCTTCTGGGGATCTCTCTCTTCATCTAAGAATGCAAAGCGTATAGTCTCAGAATCAAGTCGGTTACTTTTAAACTTTTCTAGTCTTACAAAAAGAAGAGAAAGAAAGAGAGAGAGAGAGAGAGAAAGAAAGAAAGAAAGAAAGAAAGAGAGAGAGAGAGAGAGAAAGAAAGAAAGAAAGAAAGAAAGAAAGAAAGAAAGAAAGAAAGAAAGAAAGAAAGAAAGAAAGAAAGAAAGAAAGAAAGAAAGAAAGAAAGAAAGAAAGAAAGAAAGAAAGAGAAAACCGACTAAAGGTATCCTGGGGGCCTGGGGGTCATGTGTCCACTCTTCCTAACTTTGCACAAACCCGAGCTCCCAGCAGGACCCGGCCACCTTCCGGCCGCTCCCCGGCGGGCACACCCTGCCCCGCCTCGGGGTCACCGCGCAGGCCCCCGGCCAGCCCTCCGCCGCCCGAGCGCGGTGCCCGGTGCCCGAGCCTGGAGGCCGCCCGGGCCGGCTGCCCCTCCGGCCACCCCGGCCCCCCAAACCTGCTCCTCACTTCTTCAAGTCGCTGCTGAAGAGGCCGAAGGCGCCCGACGGCGAAATGGTGGAGGTCGCCTCCTGCCCGAGCTCCGCCGCCTCTCCCCCTCCGGACTGCTCGTTGTACGCCAGGCTGTTGCTCGCCATGGCCGCGGCACGGGCGGACGGCGGCCGCGGTGCTCGGCGAGGTGGCTCCGGCCGGGCGGACGGCGCGGCTGCCTGAGGCGGCGGCCGAGCTGCAGGCGCTTCCGGACTCGTCACGGCCGCCGCCGGCCGCGCATGCCCCGAGCCGCGGGGGCGGGTCCCGGCAGGCCGCTCCGCGCCGCGCTCCGGGCTCCGGGCTTTGGCGGCGTCTGAGGGGCCGGGCCCGGGCGGCGGGGCGGGCGCGGGGAGGCGCGGCGCTGAGGGGCCGACGGGCCCTGGGGTCCCCGGCGCGGCCGGCGGGGAGGCTCCGTGCTCCTCGGGGGTCCCCGGCGCGGCCGGCGGGGAGGCTCCGTGCTCCTCGGGGGTCCCCGGCCGGCCGGCGGGGAGGCTTCGCGCCCCTCAGGGAGTTCTGGGAGCTCTTCCGGGTCCCCCATGCAGGTGCAGGGTCCCAAGGCTCTGGGCCGTCCTCGACTGCTTTCCCAGGCCACAAGCAGGGAGCTGGATGGGAAGTCAGGCAGCTAGGACACAAACCGGTGCAAATATAGGATGCTGGTGCTTGCAGGTGGAGAATTAGCCTGTTGAGTCACTGCGTAGGCTCCTGGCTCCTAGTTTGTATCTGCTCAGCTCCAGCTATTGCGGCCACTTGGCAAGTGAACCAACAGACAAAATCTTTCTCTCTGTAAATCTGCCTTTCCAATAAAAATAATTTTAACAGATGCAAAGCATATATTCTTAGAAGAACGGGTAACTTTTTTTCATGACTGAAACCAGTGATGGATTGACCAGAAGAGACCTGGCTCCAACACAGTATTGTTAAACATAGTAACTTCAGTGGAGTTCTAACATTCCAATCTCTGCAGAATCTGTATTGAGATGACCATGAGGTTTTCTGACCACGTGTGAAAGGAGAGATGCTTGCAATCAAAAGAAACATTCACTCTCCAAAGCGAGCTGGATCTGTGGGGTCAGGCCGGCCCCACCTTGGGAGGCCCTCGTCTGACTGGGCATCCCAGCCTGTCGGTGCCTGCGGTCCAGCTTCCTGCCCCAAGCCCGTCCCCTAGAAGGCCCAGGCGGAACTCCTGACTCCTGGCTTCTGCCCGGCTCAGCCCTGCTTCTGGAGGGCACTTCGTACGTGAACCAGCAGGTGGAAGACTTCCTTTGCTCTCCCTGTCCCTTTCTAACTCTGCCTTTCAAAAGAATAAAATCAATCCTTCGAAAAATTGTGTTTGCCCATTTGATGTCTGCCTGAATCTGCTTCTCTTTTGCTTCCTCAATAGCCTGTTGATTAGAAGCAGGTTGCTTCCGCTCTGGACTGAGAACAGACCTTGCCAAAAATGTCTTTTCTCCCTGCATCACTGTGTCCCTAAGTTAAGATCCAGAAGTCCGATACTAGAGTAAATAATACAGCGGAAGTTTTGACAGACCTTGGAAGATGCCTGACCCAAAAGGAGGGTGCCAGCGTGTCTTCCATCAGAATCCCTCTGGTCACATGCCCTTCCTGGCTCTGAGCACTGTAAATCATTCTAGTGTTTACTAATCTGATTGGCAAAAACCTCACAGTAAAATGCTCATGTAAATTTGCATCTCATTTATTGTAGCTAAGTAGACTGTGAAATTTATTCGAATAGGACATGTTTGAGACGATAGTCGTAAATTTGCTGGAGCACACATGTAAATCAAAAATTTCTCAGGGAAACAGTGATATATTTTGATCCTAAATAAGACAATTAAATCATACAGTCAGTGACTGCTTGAGTTTTTCTTCTATTATACAGGCTTGTCATTTGGTAATTCTAAGATGGATATTCATTTTATTGATTCCTAGACACACTGTAGATGATGCTAACATTTTCTGATATCCTAGGACAGTGTAAGTTGTAACAACTGTTTCAAAGCATTGTAGGAAACCTGAATGTGTCTCCCGTAACAAGGAACAAGATGCTGCAGAACTAGTTGGAGGAGTGGAGACAGACTCCTGGCGTGGGGCGTGGGTGTGCTTGCCCAACACACAGCCGGTCACTCACATGGGTGGGTAGAAGGGTGGGTAGTTATCTGCAAGGTTCAGAGCAGGAGCCCCTGGCAGCCACAGCTTTGCTCCCAGGCTCCGAGGGAAGCTGGGGTGCTGGGGCCAAGAGGGGCTTGTTCAGCTCCTGACCACAACCTGCCGTTCGCTGTCGCTGATGTGGCTCAGCACAGAATGCTTGTGACAGCCAAGAGGGCTTCAGTCAAGCTGAGGACTAACTGTGGGTGGTGGGCCTGACTTCCAGGGCGTGAGAGCCTGCGAGAAGAGGTGAGCCCCCACACTGCTCATGGAGATGGCATTTACTGCAGTAGTTTCCTGGGCCAGTGGTATCACTGCTGCTAAAGGCAGAGCAAGGATGTCTCGAGCTAGGAGTAAGGGACTAGGTCCTGGTGATACCCTGTGTCTGCTGTAGGGACCGTTTACTAGGGGGAACAGCTAGAAGAACACTGGCCACCAGAGGTGGGCCTTCGGCATAGCAGTTAAGGTGCTTCCCAGGACACCTGTGCTATCCTGCCTGGGACGTCTGAGACCCCCACTACCAAAAGCCTTCCATGCCCAGGGCCATCATATTATGGGGAGTGGTATTTGCATGTAACCCATGCACATGTTCCCATATACTTTAAGTAATCTGCAGATTGCATATAATGCCTAATATAATATGAAGATATAAACCATTGTTATACTGTTTCCTTAGGAAAAATAACAAAGAAAAAAATTTATTTAATATCTTCATCCTGTAATTGTCAGAATCTGCAGATACATACATGGAATGTGGTATTACATTTTATCATTATTATGTATGTAGACATAGGTTTTGTATAGGCTACATTAAAAAATGTGTCTGCCAGGACCCGGCACAGTAGCCTAGCAGCTAAAGTCCTCGCCTTGCACACGCCAGATGTCTCCCCAGGAAACCACAGGACCAAATACGCCATTTTGGAGCAGCTTTCAACCGATCCCAGTGCTGGCTCTTTGGTGAGGAACTGCGTCTTCCACCCTTGCCATCGCTGCACCCCACGCGGTCCTCACCACAGTCAGGAAGGGGTATTGGTGCTCATGTTCGTGTGAATAATGCTGACGACCAAGTTCATGCAGTGAAAATCAAGTATTTCACTCAACCTATCGACTCTGAGGAATTTTTGTCTGAATTATGTGCAGAGTTTGGCAAAGGCTATAACCTTTAATTAACTGAGAGAGCATGAAACATATTTGGGATTTTTGTTTGCATGTCATAATTGCAATCAAGGTAATAAAATTGCTCTCAAGCACCCACTCCTGTTACATTAGCATATACAGTTAATGTGAAATCCCAGCTAATATAGTCTCCCGTCTTTCCATGTTTCTTGATTGTTAAGGTTAATAGCAAAGGCCTGCATTCATTAGAATAACATTGTACTAAAAATATAATCCGTCCCAATTAGCGGAAGAGCGCCTGTCTGGTGTCTGTAATCCCAGATTCGGGCAGCAGAGAGCGCTGTTTTCACAGAAACCATGAGACGCAAATACCGTACCACTCAATTTTTCTACATTAAAAGTCCTTTTTTCTCCTTTGCCCTTTCTTTTAGGAGCACATTTGGCCCTAGAGTTCAGCGCTATCTGTTTGCTTATTCAGTTTTTCGCTCTGTAAGTGGGTCCTCTTTTATCATGACAAGCGACAACGTCCCCCAGTGGACACTTCCATCATTATTCCATTTTACAGGGAAACTATCTCTCCTGGCTCGTGCAGGGAGAGCGCACCTTGACCGGCCAAGTCCCAGATGAGCACCACGTACACCACGCGGCCGAAGGCGGGAAGAGGGGAGCTCAGCCGGGGCCCAGGCATCCTGTGCGGAGCCCTTGGCTCAGATGCCCTCCCGCCACCTTCAGTCCTGTGATGTCCCGGGGCCAGGGCCAGTGCTCACTGGGGCCAGCCCAAGGCCTCGGCCACCTGTCCCTCCCGCCTTGCCGGGCAGTGGACGGATCCAGGGCGTGCTGTTTAGCTGCCCTGGTCCTTAGCAGGCCGCAGGGGTCTCCAGGAGCACACAGGTACTCTAGCAGGATGTGTGGCATTCCAGCACCGCCCACACACCCCGGGGTGAAGGCACCACGGGGCAGTGGCCAACGGCCTTAGTTCTCTCACCTGTCCACAGAGTGAGCGGGGTGCAGGGCTTCTTGGACCCAGGGCTTGCCAGCCCGCTGGGTGCCCACTCAGCCAGTGCAGCTGGTCAGTTGGCCCACTTCAGCTTCCGTGTGGAGAGGGGTGTAGAACCCCTGCACGTTTTTTATCCCTTGCTTTTCCTCATCCTCTGCAGCTCCCTTCTCCACGTCTGTCTTTCCACTGGACCAGGAAGAAAGACCCAGGAACACAGCTTCTTAGAATAAAGGCCATCTGTATTCTTTTCTCTGCTCGGCTGATGTGTTCCTTCACGGGTGGTCGGCGAACCTAACACTGGCATTGCAGGCAGAGGCTTAACCCGCTATGCAAGGTGCTGGCCCCAAAATATCACATAGTACACGATTCTGTTTGTTCTAGAAATGTCCAGCACAGGCGAATCCACAGACAGAAAGCAAGCAAGTGGTTGTTGAGGACTTGAGAGGGGAAGGGCGAAAGAATGAGGAGCACCATGCCACGCATCAGGGCTTTGCGATGGCCGGAAGTCCCCGAACTGTGGCAGAACCTCAAACTTGCAGGGAGTCCAGGCACTGTGGGATAGAATCCCAGAGGTGAGCTCGCCGGACCGGGTCTCCAGTGGGTCATTTGGATGGCAGCTTTCCTGCAAGCTGCGAGCAGATCCCCTCCCTCCACCAGGAAGGAGGACAGGCTTCCCCAGAGCCTGGCCGACAGAGCACGGTCGCATTTTCAGAATTCTGTTAAACAGCTGGATTGAAAACATGTCACCCTAGTGTAGTTTTAATTTGTGTCTCTCTCAATACGAGTGCAATTGTCCTTTTGCAGCCCACTCCCTGCGGATGGGACTTAGGCCGCTGGGAACGGTGGCTGGAGCTGCAGGCTCTGGCACGCTGGCTTCTGCAGCTCAGGCCTGTCCAGCAGCTCCAGCTTTTGCCCCACCCCCAGCTCTGCCTGTAATTATTCA